GCTTTCCCTTCCATAATGCTTTGGACATTCCCTTAGCTAACCCTGATAATCCATACCCTTTCTCTCTCCCAAAAGCTGCCACTGGGATAGAACACCTACTATCAATAGATGAATCTCCTTTATATCTATGCCATCTTTTCTGAAAGTCCCTCCTTCTCCTTATCTACTTAAACCTTTTCTCTGCCAGGGGACACCAAGTTCCTGAATGCTTTTGAATAGCAATTGTTTTCTCTTTCACAATTTACCTACTTCAGATCAAAGTCTTCCTCTCCATTCCTACTCCTGGCCTTATTTATTCTTTCAACAGGTGTCTGACCCCTACAACGTGTTAGGCATAGTGAGGGAAGGAGAAGAGTTCTAAGTTAACAAAATAGATTTTCTAAATGGGAGGCTTAAATCCAAGTGGAGAAGCAGGTAAATGTATATGAGCAGGCAAATACATCGTTTTAAATTGTGCTAAGAGACAAGATAAAGCAGGAAGTCGTAACAATACCTCAGTATGGGAGTGGAACACTTCATTTAGTGTGTCACTGGTGTTTTAAGTGGAGGAACAAGGAGCCAGTCAAATGAAGAATGAAGTGGTGAAAAATAATTCAGACCAAAGGGAAAACAGGGCCTCTTGAAGACCTTTTTTCCATGCTTCCTCAGCAGCCCATTCTGTGGTCATACCATGGACTTGTCATTACCAGAACACTTCAGAAATCTCTGATTGAATCCTCCCACGGCCACCTGCTTTCCTTAGCCCTCAATTGCTCAGGAGCTTCCTTCTCATCCAAAACTCCAATCCACTGACTTAAGTTCTCTGTTGAGGCTCTCTTCTTAGCACTTTCATCTCTCTATCCAATTTATAATATTCATTTCTCTCCCATCCAATTTATAACCCCATTTGTACTCATGTATCCAATTTCTTGACTCTCCTTTCCAATTTTCCTGGCAAAAATCCTAATCACTCTGCTTTGTCTAAGACTGTATCTATGACAGTGACAATTGCTGGATGCATTCCCTACCTCAAGTGTCCCTCACCCCCAACAAATTAGAAACACTGTGAATTCATGATCACTAATTTTACATGGGTCTTCTCCACTGCAAACCACAATAGTGTGGAGTTCTCTATTAGTTCCATCTCTCCTCTCTTAATGACTGTATAATATCTTCTCTCTTTTCAACATGACTGCCCCATTCCCAGCCTTGCCTTTCATGATATACCACTGTGAAGACTTTCCTGCCTATCTTTCTCATAATTCTTTCTTAGATTTCTTTTGCTTAGATTCTTTTCGTCTTCTGATCTAAAAGTTAGAAATCTTCATGATTCAAAAAAAGCTGTTTGCTCTTATTATTCTAAGTCTTCTCAGGTGATCTCATCCATTCCTATGCCTTTAAATACTATCAGAGAGTTCTAGTTACCCAGACCATGGCTCCAGGGTGAAGACCACCATGCTAGTACAAACCACTATCATCTCTTGGTATTATTATAACAGCTATTTGATGAGTTTCTACTACTTCATATAGTTGCCAAAGCGATCTTTTTCAGGTAAAAATATCAGATCACGTCATACTTAAAACTCTTCCACCATTTCCGTAACTCTCCAAACAAAACCCTAAAATATGTCTCGGTTTCCTGAGGCTGCCATAACAAATTATCACAAAGCTGAAGGCTTAATTAAAACGAAAGAAATGTATTCTATCACAGTTCTGGAAGAGAGGTCCAAAGTTAAGGTGTTGGTAGAGGTACTAGGGGAGATTCTATTCCTTCCCTCTTCCGGCTCTGGTGCTTCTAAGTTCTCTGGCTTGTGGTTCTGTCACTCCTACTTCTATCTCTGTTTTTGCACGGCCTCCTTCTATCTCCTTTGTGTATCTTACAAAGACACTTGTCATTCGATTTAGGGCTCACTTTAATTGAGGTAATTAAGGATAATCTCAACCCAAGATTCTTAATTACATCTAGAACCACCCTCCCCACAATAAAATTAGATCACAGGTTCCAAGTATTAGGGTATGGACATAACTTTTAGAGGGCCAGCATTTAAGCCACTAAGCCTGCCCATGGCGCCTCCGCCCGGCCCATTGAAACTTCATTTCCTCCCCCCACCCCATTTTCCAGATACTACCCATTCTGGCACTCTTTTACTTCCTCAATTTAGGACAAACTCTTTTTCACTCTTTGTCTTTGCCTATGCTAATATTAGTATCTCTCTAGTCAGTTTACCTAGTAAACTTAAGGCCTTCAGTTAAATGTAACTTCCATAGAAGTGTCCCTTGATTCCATGAACTGAAGTATGTCTCCAATGTTATCATTCCTCAAAGCATTCTGTTAATTTCCTTCTCAGCTTTTGACAGTTTTCTTTTGTTTCATCGGGTTTTATGTACATATGGATTTTTGTGTTTACTTGTTAATATTTGTCTCCGTCACTGGACCATGAACTTTTCAACCCGTTTTATAAAGCACATCTGTTTTGTTCTTAATCATACATACACCCAGAGCAAAGGACAGCATCTGGCACACAGTAGCATTAACTAAATAAAGGAATACTAAACAAATATATGGAGTACTTCCCCTTCCCCTTTTGAACAGAATTAGATAAATTCAAATAAATGAGTTAGAATGGTGACCAGACAGCAAAGGACACTGTTGGCCTGCCATAGATAAATCTCCCAGTCCAGCTGGGGAGAGTGAGTGATAAAGCTTGGCAGAAAAGTAAAAGTAGTAGTACCCAGTTTTTAGCAAGTTAGGGTTGATCTAGTCTTTGGTTCTGCCATAGACAACTATGTGACTCAGGAATCCATTTCACCTTTCACAGTAATCTCTACCTCCTAGCCAGGATTGATTGAGGTATCTGATTCCCATGCTCCACTCAATTCTAATCTAGAAAACTCAATATATATCTAATTTTCTTAATTCTATAAATTACAAAAGGACACAAGTATTATTAATAATAACTCCTCCTGGCTTCTCCTAAAGTCTAGCATGCACAGAGGCACACGGAAAAGAGAAATCTTTTCTGAGACACCTGAAATTCTCCATCAATTTTCATTTCCTCAAGTAATTCTTTTAACTTGAGAAATCACATAACCACAAAATTTTCCCTTACTTTAAAGTATAAACCCTGAGTTCTCCCCAGTTGTACAAAGCATTCTCATCATGCTTCCCCCTCCACCCCAAAAAGCCACCATTCCCACTAGCATTCTCTATTTCTCCCTATCCTAGCCCCTGGCAACCCCTGTCTCTATGGATTTTCCAGTCTGTTTTTACATGCACAGAACTGAAACTCAGACAGAAGTGATTTGCATAGGGTACAAGAGTCACTTAGAGAACAAGGTTAGAACACATGTACTTATAGTAACTTATATGTATGTACAAAGAATCAATGGTAAATATGTTTACCTCACACGTAGCCAAAATGTAATAATAAGACATGTGATGTTAAGATATATATTTATTAAATATATATATATATATTTTTTTTTTGAGCATTTTTTCCCCTAGAGGTCACATGTGCTCACCAGAAAGACAGTGACAGAAAGCAAAAAAATTATCCCCCGGGGGGACAGCCACATTGCAATCCTCTCTCCTCTACTCTCCCCTTGGGATCCTGGGCACGCACCCACATGCGCCCGGTGTGAGTTTAAGTCACCAGGTCCAGGACTCGAACCACGGTCGACTACCTGGGAGTCCAGCGACATAGCCATTCCACCAACTTCTGGTCCCATCGATTTATTAAATATTTTTTAAAAGAGACATGTGATGTTAAAGCAATGTCCTTAAAAGAATCATTCTCAGGCACTGTCTAGCGAAGGAGAGGCAGATGTATATAGCATTAATCAGCAATCACTGACGAAGAAGAGAGATATTATGGGTAGGAGGGACTCACACTCATGGACAGGGAACGTGTGAGGTTATGTGGTTTATCAGACTGACATTTCTCTTATTAGTCTAGTCAAACTGGTGCTCATGTGAAGAGGTACCCACTTGGTTCTGTTTATAGTTGGCCAGAGGGGTCCCTGAGATACCTGATCATTTCTAGTTCACTTGTGAGTAGCTAATGTAATGATAGCATACTTAACTGATTAATGACACTAAGCAAAATAATGCAGGGACCTTGGTTTGTTATATTCTAGCATCTGTATCTTCAAATAAGTAAAAGATTACAAGCTTAACTTACCTTCGTTACCATCATAAATATGTATACAGGAGTAGTGATCCCATAGATTCAAATCACCACAACCCATTTGCAAAAATAATTAGGCACATATTTTATTTTATATGTCTTAATCAGATTGCAAATACCATTAACAAAAGAAAAAAATGGAAAGCACTCATCATATAGGAAAAAAACTCATCATTTAAAAGAGATCAACCTGAACCTCAACATTTTTGTGCTCATTTAAAAATAGGATTAAAACAGCAATTTAAAAGGACAAACAAGTCAAGACTAAATATTTAAGTAATTAAAATCAAGACTCCAAACCAAGACTACACAATTGAAAAGTAATCTCTTCAACCTAGAAAAACTTGATTTGCCAACACATAAGAATCTGTAGAAGCCTATTACTGGGTGAGTAGATAAATTTTCTTTTCCAAAATTTGTTATGAGTCATAGAGTTCCTTCCAATGACTAGATTGTCATTCTTTTTTTTTTTTTTTTACACTGCTAAAAATGCCTATTTCAATACTTGATCTAAATGATAAATGACAAAGTGAATATGTAAAACTGAAACTTATATACCGGATATTTTCCTAAAGCTGTTATTAGGCACATAAATTCACTTAAAAGGTCAAGTTTTAAATGCCTACACCAAAAAAGAACTTTTGTTACCAATAAGTTAGAATTAGGGAATCGAAATATAATTTGTACACAGCATTACAGTGTGGTTTTGTAATTAAATTAGAATGTGCCTTATATATAAAAATGTGACAGCCTCCTGTATTAAATATAGTATTATAAAGAATGAACACCTTAAGTGGTATGAATTATTGACATAAATAAAGCACCAGCCTAAAATTTCTTCCAAAAAGACTGCTGGGTCACACCCAGAAATTTAGGGCAAAAGTTTTAAAAGAGTTATATACTTTACTTCAAAAATTATAAACTTTACTTCTTTTCCCTTTTGATAGGCGCATCAGATACTAAAATAAAAATAATTGCCATATTACTTCCAGAATATAGGAACTTTAAATCTATCATATAATAGAAAGTTAAAGAGAACAACAAAAACATTTTTAAGAAAAAGTATAAAAATTAGTAAAAAATTGAAATTTTTGAAAAAGCAGACTGGGCAAGGGGAGAGAAGAATCTCTTTAGAAAAATTCAGAGTATTATAAAATCTTCCTAATTTAAACCCAAAGCCAAGCACATTGCACACAGAATCTGGACAATTCCTTGATAATCTTTAAGGCTGCTGAATAACTTATGGAAACTATTAACACATTTTCATTTTAAGAGGCAAAAGTGAAAGAAAACATTCAAAGTTACACAGCAATTTTATATTTTGAAATCGTTATCCTAGACAACTTTTTTAAATATAGATTTTGCAAAGTTTCTACTCTCCAACTCATCAAGCAAACATTGAACACAATTTTACTTATACATACTATGGATAATTCTTTATGAAGCATACATTTTTCATAAACCTAAACCAAAATGAACCAAATGAAATCTGATTCTAGATTTCACTTTTGATTTCTGGATGTGACACTGGTATAAAACCAGTTTAAAAAAAGTATGTTTACTTCTCAAATATATCATTTAGTCTGGGGAATACTTACACTCTTAGTCAAAAGATTACTTTAGGGTTTAAAAAAATTTCAACACAAAATTGCTTCAACATTTGCCAAGATGAAATGGCTACAAACACTGACTATTACAACTTTCCACCCACAGAAATAAACCACTTCAGGTGAGCTCAACTCACTTGAGTTTAAAACCATTTCTCTTTCCCAGTTTCCCAACTGAACTAAACACTGCTCAACTGCTCACCATCTCTTGTGTTAGAAGAGATAAAAAGTGTTATACAGCAACTGAATCTGTATAGTGTTCAGTTAGCATTTCAGAGCTGGAAGGGATCTTTAAGATCTAATCCAGCACTCTGGAGGCCCAAACATGTCAAAGGACTTAGCTAAAATCACGTTCCATGACTGAGCCTTTCCTTCATTCAGTCAGTCATCCACTTTCCCAAAGCTGCCTAAGTGCAAGGCTCGGTGCTAGGTGCTGAAAAGGAGCTAGAAGGCAGCATTCACAACTGCCGAGGCAGCGTTTTGTCCTTCCTTCCCTAAGATAAATAACTTACATCTCCTAATCAGCAAGAACTCCAAGAAGAGTTCCACAGCCTTTGTAGAACCTGGCCCACTTTCAGTTTCACACATTTCAGTAAACACAGTTGGATTTAACTTCAGAAAAGACCTCAATTGTGTTTACTTTCAATGATTAAGCATGAACAAAGGGAGACACGTATTCTGAATGAGTCTCTTTCTACTACATTCATAACTTAAGGAAGTACAATCAGAAAATGCCCTACATACACAAACAAGTTCACAGAGAGGACAGCTTACAAAAATCAGAGCAATCTGAGGTATCAATACATGAATCAGTAAAGCCCAATAGCTCAAGTTTACAAAGAGTGGAATGTAAAAACCTCCCCATTTCATTCAGATGTGGGTATAGTTTTCTAAGATGTATGTCAAGACCTCCAAACTCACATTCAAACTAATGTCATCTTCCAGTGATACTCCTATCAAAACCAGGCCTTTCTCCTTAAGATCAACTTTCTTTGATTTCTATCTAGTTAAAGAACAATTAGATTAAAACATAAAACCTAAAATTTAATGTGCTGGCTAAAAGAGATTTAAATTCTATGTAATGAAGATAGCAACTGCTCAAACTGCACATTTATGAATTTATTTGAAACGGCGATGTACACTGAACTTACCCATCAACCTAAATCATATGGCATTTTGCTTGGATTTTTACATTCTTTAAGTCTGGCACTTAAACATTTTGGATGTCTTAATTCACAGTCAACTTCTTTAAGGAGAAGCAAGAGACCATAACATAGTTTTTAAATAAAACCACCCATAAGTAAGGCACTTTGGAATCCTAAACAGCAACACTGCACCCAGTTTCAGTGTAATATACCAAAAGGAACCACAGCGCTACAGTGCTCTCACAGGGGACCCAGGGATGACTTCCGCTAGAATGCAATCTTCACTCAGGGTCTTTGAAGGCTCTCCTCAGGTTCATGACAAAAGTGCTGTTGTGCTCTTCTATTTCTCAAACCTCCAGATCTGATTCTTATCTAGAGCATCACAAGTTCTCATTTGTACGCTAGAGAGGCCCTCAGGTGTCCGATAAGCACTGAGACACAGTCCTGAATGTGGATGAAAAATGGTTCCATCTTCTTTAAAGTGCCAAATAAGATTTGCTGGCACAGGGGACCCATCTTTAGGACAATTTTGCATTCCTACATGATTTTTTCGCTCAGGAACATACGCACATAACTCTGTCACGGAATTAAACCTTATTTCTTTCTTCGAAGTATATTCAAAGAATTGATTGCCTCCCTGTCCATGGCATCCGAATAATGAAAGGTTGGCACCTGTGGGGTTACTGTCAGGAGAATTATAATCTAAACATTCAGAAGAGATCCCCATACTGCGAACAGCCCCGTGCCAGCCTGGCCTATCCTCTGGAACATGTAAACTAGAAAACACGTTTTTCAAATACCAGTCGAAGCTCTTACATCTCAGCCGTTCTCGTAGAAATTTTCTTTCAGAGATGTCACCATAAGCTTCCTTCCTTGCTGGTGGGTTCCGATTGTAGAAATGTTCTTTGTAGTCATCCATCCACACTTCTGCTGCCCGTGCAGTATTTTGTAGGAAATTGGGGCGGGCATATGGCGCCCGCTTGGGAAATACATGGCCCACATGGGAACATGGGTGGATCTCCAATTTGCCACCACACTGCCACACCCTGAAAGACAGCTCGAGGTTTTCACCTCCCCACACCTCCATTCCTACATCGTATGTTCCAAGGTAGTGGAAATATTTCTTGCTAACAGCAAAAAGTCCTCCAGCCATGGTGGGCGATCTGATGGGATCAATTCTCGATGTCCGCCTGTCCCTTTCATGTTTGGGGACAGAATGCCACTGGAATGTTAAACGCCAGTCAAACCCACCAATCATGGGCTCCCCAGTCTGCATATAGAATTCGAAAGTATTCCAATCAATGGTGTCTATAACAGGACAAACGATGGCTGTTTCATCTCTGCCAATCCTTTCCAATAGTGGTTCTAGCCAACCAGAACTACACTCGCAGTGACAATCCAGGAAAGTGAGGACATCCCCAGTAGCAAAACTGGCCCCAATCAGGCGGGCCCTCACCAGTCCCTCACGCTTATTGGTTCTAATCAAACGGACTCTCTCAAGATTGCTGATGTAAGCTTCAAGTTGTGCCTTCAGATAAACTCTGTCACTCAAGTCATCCACCAAGATGATTTCCTTCAGAAGGATTGCAGGAGACGTTTCTAAAACACTGTGAATGGTGCGGAGCAAAGTCGACCAGGCTTCATTATAGAAAGCGATAATAACAGAGGTGGTGGGAAGTCTCCTGTAGTTGAACCTCTTGGATTTACACTCGTACATCCTCCTGTCTTCTATGTGTCGGTGCAGGGAGATCCTGTCACTGAGGTAAATATTGATGGCATATCTCTCAATGAGGTCTTCTTGCTGCTTCTGTTCGTCCTCGTTGAGCTGGAGTTTGCTGGCTTTCCCCCACTCCCCAAGAGCATGGGAATCTGCAGGGGGCTTCTCATAAAGTGGGCGAGACAAATCTAAGTTTTCTTCCAGGTCTGCGAGGCGTCTTGACCTTAGATCCCTGGCATGGCCGGCTCCTGGGGAACCATGGAAAGTGGAGACAGAGAGCTCCACCACGATGTAGGCCACTGTTAAAGCCGCCAGCACCAGACAGGTCTTGCCTGCCCGGGTCCACCTCACAGCCATCCAGATCCGCATGGCTAGGGCGCAGACGCGGCCACCACGCAGGGCAAGGGCTGCAGAACCCACAGCTCGAGCTCCCGGCTCAGGTAGGGGCCGACGTCCAGGCAGGTTTTTCCTTTCATAAAGGCGCTCGGCTCCTTTCTAACCAGCCCGACTTCCCAGAGGTCACCTGAGACCTCCCGGTCCTTGGCCTCCGGCACAGCCTAACTCCTCTCTTTCCACTTCCTCCTGCTCGTCTCACAACTTTTCACAAACTCTCCAGCCAACACCCCACCCTCCCCGGACGAAGGACAAACCCCTCCCCTTCCCACTCACTCCTCCTGGCGGTTACTTTGCGCAAGTCCTTCGCCAGCCCCAGACCTACAAGCGGCTATCTGCCTGGCGGGATGATCCAGGCGGCCGGGACTCTGGCTCACTCAAGCCGGGCGCCCTGAGTCTCCTGCTGCCATCAACCTCCATATAAGTTCTCAGAGGTTCTCCCCGGGGGCCTAGCTAGGGACAGGAGGAAAGGCATCCTGCCAGCCGCGCTTCTATTTCATCACAAACAGGAATAAAAGATCGCGAAACTTACCAAGTTGTTTGCCGTTGGGGCTGAAGTCCACGGAGGTGATCGCAGCTTTGTGGCCTTTAAAGTAACGCTCCAGAACGGGGTCCTCCTAGGAAGGAAAGGTGTCAAGTTGTGAAAGAAGGTGCAGAGCTCGAATTCTGGGGGCGGGGATCAGCGCTGCCCCTCCCCTGGGTCCGGCCTGGGAGCGGCCACATCGGCGGTGGGTTTGGAGGCAGGATGTCCCGCAGCAGCAACCGCGCGGCGCTGCGTCCATCAAAAAGGCGCTGGGAGCCAGGAGCCCCGCAGAGCCGGCAAAATCTTCCATCCCTGCTCCGGGTGCGCTCAGAACCCAGCGCGTCCAAAGGACCCCCGGCGGCCGGTTTGACAGGCACGTTCCCGAGCCGCGCTCGCGGGCGCCAGTCGGCAGG